CTATAAGGGTTCCTTATGGTTCAAGGCCTCATCAGCAAATACTGACCAGTCATTAATAATGCTCCTCTGGAGATGCTTACTTTTACTCTTGTCAAGAGTTGGCCATTTTCTTCATTGAATATGCCTTATTTGGGAGACTGTTTCTTTTTTTTTTTTTGAGACTGTTTCTTATCTGCTCACATATCAAAAGAGATTTGGCCCAAAAGGTAGTATTTTAAAGTGCCATTAAGTTAGATCTTTTGACATCAACTTGAGGGTCACTATTTGCAGCATTCAAAAGGTTACTTCCTTTTTCCAAATTTTAAATCAAAGGTAATACCTTTATTTTTCAAGAAGGAAAGAAATGCAGTTGAAAACCGAACAACTAAATTCTACTTGAATTTCAGTAGTTTAGTAGGTTGTCCGAGTGAGGTTAGGTACTGGCCAAAACCCTGGCACATTCTAATAGGAATACTAATATGATTGCAAATATGGTTATTTTTAAGTTCATACATAAATCACTGCCTTATAAATAATCAGGAAAAGTGACTGTTCCCTACTCCTCTTAGAATTTCTATCAGAATTTATAGTCAAGGCCCAATTTGAGTCCAAGATCTATAATTTTAGGGCATGACACTTAACCAGCCCTGCTCACTGTTTGCCCTCTAGAAAATGGGGTAATGTGTTCTCTGCCTGTTGCACTGAGTTATGCAAATCAAATTAGGTCATTTCCAGGAAAGCACTTTGTAACTGGTAAAGAATGTAGCTTACTAATTATTACTCTAGTTCATCTAGTCAGACCAACCTTTTTCTCACTACTCTGTGGTATGTTGTTGTGGGGGATGACATGACAGCCCAGAGTTCTGTAATGTGTACCACCTCTTAGGAGTGCTTCTTTTATACTTCTAACTAGAGGCCTAGTACATGGATTTGTGCACTGGTGGTGTCCCTAGGTATGGCCTGCGGGGATCAGACCAAAACCGGCAGTCCAACATCTCCCAAGGGATGTAGTAGTGCGAGAAGCAGCAGGTGACTGAGGAGGAGCCAGAGCCCAGGCTGGGTGCCGCGCTGCTCGGTAGGCTCACAGCCTCTCTGCTACAGTCTCCACGCACCCATCCTAGGGCGATACCAGCGCACCCATGACCGAGAAGCGGCCGTGGGTTCATGCCCAATCAGTCCCAATGCCGGTCCCAGTCCTGGTCTGGATGGGGGAGGGGCACAGGGGGAGTGTCCACAGGAGAGGCTTACTCCGCTGCAGCTGCACTCACCAGCTGTGAGCCCGGCGTCTGGCGCCTAGTGGTCAGCTAAGCAGCGCTCCTGCTGTGGCAGCGCACTGACCACCAGGGGACAGCTCCTGAATTGCGTGTCTTCCCCCTGGTGGTCAGTGCGCATCATAGCGACCAGTCAAATGGTCACTTAGGCTTTTATCTATCTATCTATCTATCTATCTATCTATCTATCTATCTATCTATCTATCACCCTAATATGCAAATAGACTGAATGGCAGAACAAACAGCTGAACAGCCGTTTGCTATGACATGCACTGATCACCAGGGGGCACGCACAGAATATGGCGGGCATCGGCAGCAGGCGGTAGAGTGTGGAACATGGTGGGCTTCTCCACCTCTCCCTGCTCCTGAGGGGCGATTGGGGCCAGCAGCCGCCTCTCGCACCCACTTCTAGCGACAGCCCCGCTTGCACCCACTACCAGCGCCAAAGCTGCTGCTCACACCCACTGCCGGCGCCAGCCCCGCTCACACCTGTAGCCGGCACTGGAGTGGCCGATCGCACCCGCTGCCAGCGCCCGGTGCTGTCCCCGATCACTCGGCACCATCAGCGGGTGTGAGCGGTGGCTGCTGGCCCCGATTGCCCCTGAGGGCTTCTCCACTTCCCCATGCTCCTGAGGGGCGATCGGAGCAGCAGCCTTCGTTCACACCCGCTGACTGCACCAGCCCCAATCACTCTGAGGCATCAGCGTGTGTGAGCGGGGCCGGTGCCGTTAGTGCGTGGGAGCGGTGGCAGCGGGATCGGGGCTGCAGTGGGAGGGGCCGGGCAGAGTTGCAGAGGATGGGCCAAGACCGACCCCTATGCTCCCCACAGCCTCGTGGCCCCACAGTTGGTGCATGAATTCGTGCACTGGGCCCCTAGTCTATATTATAAAAAGCCAGTGCCATAACGACCAAACCACCAGTCACCATGAAGTGCATGGAGCACCTCTCGGTCCCTCCCCCACGGCCCACAGGCTCTAATCGCAGGAAGGCGGGCGGGCGGGCGGGTGGGCGCGGCGTGGCGAGGCAGGCGTGGCGAGGCACACGTGGGTGGGCGGGGCTGCGAGTGTGGCAGGGTGGTGCGAGGGCCATGCGCTTTTGCACCCTGGGCCTCTTTATATAGAAGATAGGACATGGACAATTGTAGATTATTGCTAGTTTTATCCCTTTATTTATTACTAAAGTGATGCGTGTTTATTGTGAAGAAACAAGAAATATAAATCATTAAAGAGGAAAAATTAAAATTACTTCTAAATGCAGAAATAATTGCTACTTTTACTTTTGTATTCTTTTGAAACAAATTCACTTCTACTGAACATAATATTTTTTCCTGTTTTTATTATATAATAAGTTACATGAAATGATATACTATAATTATATATTTTAATGGCTACATAGTATTCCACTATAACTTATTTAACTAGTCCCAAACTTTTTTATGCCATTTAATGGCTGTTTTAATTTTTTTACATTATAAATAATGTATTTAATGACACGTTTTATGGCTAAATGTGTGTGTGTGTGTATGTGTGTATCTGCTCATTCTTTTTACTAGGATAAATTCTAGACTTGGAATTGCTACATAAAGGGGCATATAACATTTTAAGAAATTTGATTTTTTTTACAGCTTTATTGAGGCATAATTGACATAAACTGTACTTATTTACAGTTTGATAAGTTTTGACACATGTGTACACCCATGAAACCATCACTATAATTAAGGTGACCTTTTGTAATCCCTCCTTCTTATACCTTCTCATTTCTCCATTCCCAGGCAGCCCCTGATCTGCTTTCTCTCCCTTTATATTAATTTGCTTTTCTATAATTTTATGCAAATGGAATCACACAATTTGTGTTCCTTTTTGTCTGGCTTCTTGCATTCAGCATAATTGAATTTTAAATTCATCCATGTTGTTTATATATCAACTAGAGGCCCCGTGCACGAAATCGTGTGGGTAGGGTCCTAGGCCTAGCCTCCATCTTCTGCCTGTTTGCCAGTCCCCAGGCTGAATGCCACTTCTGCCACAGGCCTGTCAGGCCATTGGGATCACCAGCTCATCCCTGGCTGCTCGGGGGCTCAGGCCTGCGGGAAAGCAGGTGCGGTGACTTCACCTCCATGCACGTGCGCTGGGCCAGCTACTGATGGAATGCGCTGCCAACTTGGGGCCGCTCACGCGGGCACTGTTGCTGCTGCCGCTGCTGGAGCTTGAGGTGCTGATGGAAGTTGCGGGGCGCGCCCGCAACCTACCCACCCAGGCGTGAGCAGCCCCGAGCGGGCAGTACATTCCATTAGCAGCGGACCTGGCGCAAGTGCATGGAGGTGAAGTCGCCGGCACCTGCTTTCCCGCAGGCCTGAGCCTCTGAGCAGCTGGGGATGAGCTGGTGATCCCAACGGCCTGCCAGCCAGCCCAGTCCTCCTGCCACCCACCCTGATTTCCCCGTTCACCATCGCTGATCCATCAGAGCCTGTAGGCCTGGGGCAGGGACCAAGAGGTCAGCCATTCAGCCCGCTCTCCAGTCCCCAATCCTGCCCTGCCCCGCCCCGCTCGTGGGGTGTGGGGGGAGGGAGGGACTGAGAGGGGGTCAATGCCACCTCATGGTGACCGGTCAGTTAGTCATCCTGGTCGTCATGGACACTGGCTTTTTTATATATATAGGTAGTGCATCCATTTTTGTTTCTGAGTAGTAAATAGTCCATTGTAAGGACATACCATAATTCATTCACCTAGTGATAGGCATTTGAGTTGTCTTCAATTTTTGACTATTAAAAATATGGCTGCTTCGGACAGTGATGTATATGTCTTTCTGTGGACATAAGGCATTTGATATTCATCATAAATTTTGTGCTGGAAAGGTTATATAAGTAGTAGTTTGAAACAGGAAAAGCTTAATATGAAAGAAATTTGCTATTGTTTTTTTATTCTCTTTTTTAATATACGTTTGGGAGGATTTAGAACTTTTAGGTGTAATTTAATTGAATTAATTTGATGGAAATTTGAAATCAACAAAAGTTAACAAGTGTATCTTAAAAACCATAAACCTTTTTTATAGTTTGTTTTCTTGAAGCATCTAGATCAGCGGTTCTCAACCTGTGGGTCGCGACCCCTTTGGGGGTCAAACGACCCTTTCACGGGGGTCGCCTAAGAACATCGGAAAACACATATATAATTACATAATTGTTTTTGTGATTAATCACTACGCTTTAATTATGTTCAATTTGTAACAATGAAATTGGAGGTCACCACAACATGAGGAACTGTATTAAAGTGTCACAGCATTAGGAAGGTTGAGAACCACTGATCTAGATGTATTGTATAGAATAGTGATGGCGATTTAAGCTCAGCGTGTCAGCATTTTGAAAAACCCTAACTTAACTCTGGTGCCGTGTCACATATAGAAATTTTTTGATATTTGCAACCATAGTAAAACAAAGATTTATATTTTTGATATTTATTTTATATATTTAAATGCCATTTAACAAAGAAAAATAAACCAAAAAAATGAGTTCGCGTGTCACCTCTGACACGTGTGTCATAGGTTCGCCATCACTGGTATAGAAAGCAAAAATCTGTTCCTTACCTTTAATGAACAATATATATTTCTTAAACAATCTGTATTTCTCTGTCAAAGGACTACTTCTGCATTGAACTTGATCAAGAAATGGTACTAGGGAAACTTTACAAAATATATTCCAGAATCTGGTTTGGAAGAGATACCAAACTATCTTTTTCTTCCTCTTCACATGTACCCTAGACTAAAGGAGGAGCAGGGAATCTGAAGACTCCAGATGACATCAGAATTACTTTTCAACAGCCTTCTCAGTTTCCTTTCTCAGAAAGCAGAGATTCAAACCTTGGAGACAGATGGTGAGAATATTTTTCCCAAGTTCTTAAGGCTTAAGTATTGTGATTTTAATATATTTTAGACGATCCTTTCTAAGTTATAAATTAGCTTATAATCACCAGACTTGTATTTTGTGTTTTATCTTTGCAAATTCATTAGGCATTGTTTTTTGTTTGTTTGTTTGCTTGTTTTTTAAATATATTTTTATTGATTTCAGAGAGGAATGGAGAGGGAAGAGAGATAGAAACATCACTGTTGAGAGAGTATCATTGATCGGCCACTTCTTGCATGACCCATACTGGGGCTCAAGCCCACAACCCGGGCAGTACCCTGACCAGAAATTGAACCGTGACCTTCTGGTTCATAGGGTGACACTCAACAACTGAGCCATGCCAACCAGGCAGGCACTGTTTTGTTTTTTTAAACTAAGTGAGATACAATTCTATAATTAAAGAACTTAGAGGGTAAGGATATAGATAAAAACAAAAAAAGGGTATTAATGTTTAACCCATTAGCCTAAACATTTTTGACATATTGACAAAGTATCAATAAAATACTTTTTGCTTATACCTGCAACATTTATATATTTATGAATTATAATCACAAATTGTTTACAATTAAGCTATTTGCATTATAAAATACACAAAAAAAGAAAAAAAGGATATAGGTAAATTTAAGCAGTAGAAAGAGGTTAAATGATACAAAAATATTCTTGAGAATTAAAAGGTGTAGATTACTTCTGGAGAGAACAGTTGGGAATCTTGAAATAAATATTTGTGTTAGTGATACTTAATTTTTTTTATAAAAAAACAAAATGGATAGTTAATGCAAAACTAAAATAGCAATCTGATTTCAGATTAAAAGTTAAGTATTGTTTTGAAGAAAAATAGAAGAATGTTTGGTTATGGGTTAATTATAGTCTAAGTCAGTGATTACTTTTTGAATTATATAAAATGATTACCTCTTACAAGGCAAATAGTAGCATTTCTGAGAAATGATAAAATAATCTGATTAACACAAGTAGGTGGTCAGTGCAACAGAAAGAGATGCCTGAGTGGTTAATTCTACTTGGATTAGCACCCCTGTTTTCCAGTATAGCTACAACCTATGATGAATTTGTCATGTCTTCAACTCCTGAACCTTATATTGCCTTTGCCAGGGCAGAAACAATCCAAGTAAGCGGGGGAAAGACACAGTGATTATTGTTATCATTAATTGTGAAGAGTTTACTTTTAATTAGCTACCTGAAAACTCTGTTCAGAAGAGATATAGTAGATAGAATTTCCTAAACTTCACAGTGTTTTAATGGACTATGATGTTTTAAAAGGGAGATGGCAGGTTTTTTTGTTTGTTTGTTTTTAAATACGTTTATATTGATTTCAGAGAGGGAGAGGAAGAGAGAAATAGAAATTTCAGTGATGAGAGAGAATCATTGATCGGCTGCCTCCTGCATGCCCCCTACTGGAGATTGAGCCCACACCCAGGCATGTGCCCTGACCAGGAATCGAACTCTGACTTCCTGGTGCATAGGTTGACACTCAACCTCTGAGCCACACTGGCTGGGCAGGGATGGCAAACTTGTTTTTTACTATAGGCATAATATGGTCAGCACAGTGGTAATAATAACTCCTTTTCTTTACTATTCTAATTATATTCAGAAAACCTAGTAATGAAGTGTTTATTTTCATCATTCTATGTATATGTTTTAAATATATATACTAAATTTATTGGGGTGACATTAGTCAACATGAACATGTAAGTTTCAGGTGTAGGTTTTTATGTTACAAGATCTGTATATTGCACCTTGTGCCCACCACCCAAAGTCAAACCTCCTATCATCATATATTAGGACCACCTTCTCCCCCAAGCCCCTTCCCTCTGGCAACCACCACACTGCTGTTTGTGTTAACGAGTTTCAGTTTTATATCCCTCATCTGAGTAAAATCATATGGTTCTTAGCTTCTTCTGACTGACTTATTTCACTTAGCATAATGTTCTCAAGGTCCATCCATGTTGTTGCAAATGGTGCTATTTCATCCTCTACTTATATTTTAATCACTCTGATCATCCTTGCTTGTAATTTCAGCAAGAAAATCTTTAAAAACAAATTTATTAAATAAAAAAGAATAAAACTTTAATTTTATAATTGTAAAACTATTTGGTTGCTAGTCATTCTTCACATATTCATATATTATTATATTCTCTAAATTGAGACTTTAACCAGACTTTTTTACTTGTAAATATTAAGCATTCTTTCATTCAGGTATAATTATGTGTTTATGACAGTTTGATAAACCAAAATCAGCTCTTACATTTGATGAAACACAGTAGGTATTGAACCCAAATTCTCAATTTTTAATTTTGTTAAAATTGTAAGCATGCATATTTTTATTGTTATTAATTTATCAACACCCTTGTTTTACCAAGTAGCCAATGACCACTTATGATAGTTGGATAACTAACTTATAAATATAAAGCCAATAAGTTGTCCTTGAAATATGATCAAATTTAGATCTTTCTCCCAAATAGAAAAGGAGACAGGGTATTTAGAATGTACAGTCACAATTTTGAAAGCATATAAAAATAAATTACTGGTGATTATATTATTTATAAATATTTTTAAATATTTCAAGATTTTAAAAATGTGTGTTTTCTAAAATGTGTTTGTTAAACAGTTTTTCCCTTTGAATGAGGAGCTCATGGTCACATAAGTTTGGAGAAGTTAAATCATGATTCCTTAGCCAGGGGATTGTTAGTCTCTAAAGGAGGATCCTCCAGAAGGAGGGATATATATATATATATAAAATCTTAGGGAACTAGTATTCAGTAGCATATAGTTGAAGACTCTGAACTAATATATTGCATGAGGTTTTACTATAGTTTGTCTGCCATACAGTTATACTCTGAAAATAGTCTCATTATATATTTAAGTAATGTCCATCTGAATGAGAGGCCAAAGAGGGTGATTATAAAGGGACAAGAATTTGATGAAATGAATATTGCAAACCATATAAAGCACAGAGTATTTTATAAAGCTTCCTTAGTGTCTTAGGCCAGATTTTCCTTACTCACTTGTTAGCTCTCCTTTTTGAAAGAAACAGTCATCCCATATGACTAACAAAATCAAATCACCCTTTATTGTATTTTATAGGACTCCATATACTTTCTGTACTGTTTATCTCAGAGTATAACATTTATTAGCTAATTTGGATAAATATTAAAAAATAGTGAATAACTCTGACTCCTCAGGGGATGTCGGAGAGCTGGTTTTGGCCCGATCCCCACAAGCCAGGCCAAGGGACCCCACCAGTGCACAAATCTATGCACCAGGCCTCTAGTATGCATATAAGATCTTTGGTTAATCTCTTCCTGCTCTCCCCCCTCCCCCTTTCCCTCTGAGATTCATCAGTCTGTTCCATGTTTCTATGCCTGTGGTTTCCTCTCCTGCATGAGTGCCTGCCCCCTGGTGGTCAGTGCACGTCATAGCTACTGGACAGTCGCTTAGGCTTTTATATATATAGATGATTTCTCATTGGCAAGAGTTCTTTATTGTACTTTTTTTTAGTGCAATTAAATTGTTGATGACTATTTCAACAGATGTCTTAAGTATTAAAACTTTTTTGTCACATACAGAAGTATCTGTATGAAGAGACAAAAATGGCAGTGACTCAGCTGGCTCTAACAGGTTGAGTTACCAGGTTGGTGAAGTGAAGCTAATTGTCTAGAATGCCTTCCACAAACTTTGTAAAACACTCCTCAAAATAATATTTTTAATTTAAGAAATAACACCTTGAAAAGGTTTAAACTACACAGTTTTCTGTGAGAACTAGTGAAACCATCAATCCAGAACTGTTGGTGAGTCATTTTATTTGGGATTAATTGCTATAAACTAACTTGTCTGTCTCACTGATAGTTCCCTGATTTCATGGACAACCTGAGCAAGAAAATTTGGATGCTCAGCTCAAATAATTCCTTGTTAGTTTCCGGCATTGTTCCCTAGCACTCTTTAATCCTTTTTCTAGCATCTTGGTTCAGAGTTCATTTCTAATCTATAGCATTTGTGCTGCTAAACCTCCTTACTTATGTCCTCACCTCAGGCTCTCATAGCCACCAGATTTTCCTAAAACTCCAATTTGCTAGTGTTAACTTCTCTAATAAATCCAAGTCAGCAATGTCAATCACATAATGACCATCAAAAAGTAATAGTCCTTCCTTAAACAACCCTAATGTATTATTGCAATGGTAAACATTAATATAATTAACATTTTTCTAAATTTGGTGTCCTTAAATAATTGATTTTTCTTAAGTCTTTTATTAATACCTTAATTGATATAACTAACAGCATTTTGGAGGGGACATTCCTCACTATATCAAGCCTCCATATCAACTTGGGCTTTTTCTCTACCATGAAAGGATTCAAATGAAATAATTAAAATAATTTAACAATGTGTTGACCAGAGTGTCAGTTCACTTTCTCTTCTTACACAGACCCTGGTATTTTTCACTTAAATTAACTCTGGTAAACCTGATATTCTCCTTGACACTCTGCTACGTTTGCCCTTCAAATGCAGCCTGAGGTTTGCACAACAGTTAGTGTGAGTCTAACAGTAGAGCTTATTATGCATTTTATTTAAATAACTAGAATTTCCCCATTCTGGATTAGAGATATAGTAGTAATTTTCAAACCTCTTTTAGTATTTTTACATATACTTATAGAAAGATTATTGATAGTACAGTCTATATAAGCTTCTAGCTTAAAGCTTTTATCTCCTGCTGTTGTTCCTCTTCCTCCCTACCATCTTGCTGCTGGTTCTCTGAGCTTCTTCAAGTATCTGTGGTGAAGGACCAGTTTTTGTTTGTTTTCATTTTATTTTTTAAATAAATTACTTTTATTGTATTTTTAAAAGCTTCTTATCTATGACAGATTGGAAATTATGAAAAAGAAATATAAACTATAATTACCAATCTTTATTCATTAAACTCAACAAATGTCATGTTACTTTGTCAAATTCTATAAAAATTT